TACAGGAGGAAGATTTGGAATTTTACTAGAAAAAGCAAGAGTTATGTTTGTTGTCAAATAAACCTAAATCTAGTGGGACATATATGTGTATTCAATAACAATTTCACACATTTTCTCTGGAAGATGGAGACGTAGAAATGTGGACAAAGGTGAGTGAGATCTAGCACCTGTTATCAAGAACACCATAAAAATACCATAAAACATTATTAGTTCTTCAAGCTGCTCTGTGAAAAACAAGATCAGTCCATTCTCAAAACAACAGCTAGAATGATTCTGTCCTTCCTCTCTCAAAACTGTGCATCAGCTCCCAGTTGCCTCTGGGTAAAAGCCTGAGTCCTCACAAGAGCCTGTAATGCACAGCAGATCGGAGCCCACCCTTCTGAACTTCCCAACTTCTTTATTCTCATCCCAGCTGTTCCAGCCCAGCTACACTGGCCTCGTTGCTCTTTTTCAAACACACCAGACTCTCTTATCCTCTGCCTGGAATGTTCTCCCAGATGTCTGCCTGGCTGATCACTTGGCTTCCTCAAGTCTGCTCAGTCTCACTTTCTCAGTGCAGCCTACCTCAACCACTTGCTTTAATATTTGCAGCCTGTCTTTGCCCCCTTCCCATCTCCTAGCACTCTCGATTCCCTTTACTTTGTCTGCTTTTGCTGTTTCCTAAGGTATATATTTCTGTCTGTGATATATAATTTACTTATTTACTGTGTTACTGCTGACTGTCCTTTGTACGTCCTCTCCTCCTAGGATACAAGTTCTGGATGTCAGGGATCTTTGTCAATTCTGGTCTTCATTTCCCACATGCCCAGCACATACTAGGTGCTCAAAACACATTTGTTGTGGAATACTTTACAACCCTCATGGAGAGTGACATGTTGCATTCATGTCTTAGAGGCTCTAATCCTGCATTATAAATACCCATTTGACTCTTCAGCATGATATCCAATGAACTCCTTTTTTCTCATACATTATACCAATATTCTGTGGAACTGTGGTTTGTAGACAACACTTTGAAGAGGTGAACATCATTCTTGCAGGTTCTGCATGACTGTATCTAAGCTTTTGTTCATGCTGGGGTCACCTTTGGGAATATACCTGCCCTGCTCTCCACTTTTCTCAACCTTTTCCAGAACACGACTTCCACCCAGCTGAAGTATTCCTCCCTCTGGCTTCCTAGGGATGTTATTCAGTGCTGCATAGGCTTGTCACCAGTTTCACGTAGGGCTGCTTGTTTGCCCAAAGACAGTTTAGCCCTCTTCAGGCATGACATTTTCTGATATTCTTTTTCTTTATCAACATTCAGTTCAGTGCTTTGATACTCAGAACATTAACAAAAACTTATTAGCTCAGAAAATATGTGCTATGTGATTTGGGAATGCCTCATTATCTAACATACTAAACAATGTTTTCTCTTTCAACAACCAAAAAATCCCTGTCTTTAGCTAATATGGGGTGTTTTCCATTTCCCTTGCTTGCTGTCTTAGGTACTTCACGGACATGCACAACAATGGCCACCTCATGGTGACTCTCTGCTGTGCTCTTTGGCCTCCCACCAGGAGCTGAAGTTTTGGTCTTCTGCTTGGTATATCTAATACTTTTTTAAAGGCCCTTGAGGGATGGTTTGAGGTAGGGACTGATTAACTCCATAGCTCTCCACCCTGAGCCATAACACAAGCACTGCTGACCCTGTTCCTTAATTCTTATGCTCAGGAAAGGAGTTAGAGACAAAAAAAAAAAAAAAAAAAAAAAAAAAAAAAAAAAAAAAGAATGAAAAAAAAAAGGGATAAGGAACCTGAAGAACTGAAAGAAGATGCTGTTATGGGCAGTTCATTCTCACTTCAAATCAATGTGGTCCAAGAAATAGGAAAATAAATATTGGACACCAATTTCTTTTGTTTCTTTTACCTGCCTCTCCTCCCTACGATCTCATCCATTCAAGCAAAGCTAAGACACTTAACTTCACCAAGTTCTCAGCTAGCTATAAAGAGACAAACATGCCATCTCCCCCCTAAGCCCGTGTCCCAACAGACTTAAGAATGGGCTTTAATCTAGAGATGGAACATCATAAAGGTGGCTTAATATAAGTAACATATTTTATTAACATATTGGTTACATTAAAAAAAAGTGCATGAGGGGGCCGGCCCGGTGGCGCACTGGATAGTGCGCCGCTTGGGAAGCACGGCGGCGCT